GGCGCCGACGCTGAGAGTCTGACTGCCTGTGGAGACTGTAAACTGTGGCTCTGCGGTCAGACCGGAGACTCAAACAGTCAGATAAGGTGTTTTTTGGACAGCCGTCCTCTCTCTCTCTCTTTCTCTCTTTCTCTCTCTCGCTCCCCCACATAGGCATTTACAGCTCGTATGTGTGTGCGTGTTTGTGTGTGCGCACGTCTTTCCCTGTGGTGTTTAGAATGTATGGTTTCAAAAGCTGAGTTTGCTGGTGTGGCTAGAGTGAGATCTTATAAAGTATAAATGTTTCATTAGCATAAAAAGACAGTTCCAAAATAAAAGGTCTGAATTTCTGATGACATTAACTCAGTCACACATCTGACTAACTAAGAGGCAGCATCAACGTTTCAGCTTTAGTAGTCACTATGCCATGACAATAAGTAAACGTACAATTATCTAACGTTGTCATTAAATCATTATAAGTAATTAACAAAAGTTTCAATATAAATTAATGTGTCGTATTATGCTCACCAATAGCTCACTGTTGCCCATGGACAGCCTCTACAAACAGAAGCAGGTTGGGTCAAATGTCATTAAAGGGTTTAACAAAACAAGGACTACGTTTGATGTCAGCTGACAACGCCCAGTAATTAAACTTGACCTGTGTGTACACCCTAATGTCAATTCAGGATTAAACAGCAGAGAAAATCAACGAATTATGTATGAACAGTATTTAAGTGTTAACCAGAGAATAACTACATGTTAATAAAGAAATGTAGAAAATGACCTAAAAATATGCACAGGACAGGGGTGGAAAAAATTGCAAAATCTTGCAAAAGTTAGTTACTTGTTAACACTAAATTAGCATCATTGGCTAGTTTTAGAACAAACAGTATGAATATGCACAAAAGTGGAATTTTGGCTAACTAGACTAGAGAGTAATTTAAATTGAATGAGTGAACTCTGACTAAAGTGTGATTGACTAATAAAAGGGCGGTTGTCAGGAATCAAGAGGTGTAGGTTAGAAAACACATCTACTGCTGATAGAAACATCACCGCTCTGAATGACTGACTGCACTCCGCTGAACAACAACAACAGAACTGTGCATGAACAGCCAGCAGGAGGGTCAGCCATATTTTAGTCAGTTGATTACAATAATAAAAATAAGAGCATAAATACAGTGAGTAAAATAATTAGATTCAGTAGTGGAGCAATAAAAACGAAGGCTAAATAAAGTGAGTCATAAAAACACAGTCAGTGGAGCAAGCAAGAACAAAATACACAGGAATACACGCAGTAATACTCTGAAACGGTGTAAACATGTAGTACTGAAGTAGGTAATGAAAGGTAATAAATCAATAACACATGTATTGATTGATTGACTAATTGATTCAGTCGTAAATGAAGCCCATGTTTTTATTTTTACTCATTCAGTAAATCAGTGAAGCTAAGTGGCGTGGTGACAGAAGACAAGGTGACTGGAGACAGATACATCACACACGTCACCCTCATGAAAGACATGATGGACGGAAGGAGACCAGAGCCAGATCAGATGGACTCTGAAGGTCCAGTCCAGGGTGAGGACATCACTGTCCAACACAGAGTATGTTACAGTTGGAGCTCAGATCATTTAAACTTCATCTTTCTTCTTCTTCTTCTTCTTCTTCTTCTTCTTCTTCTTCTTCTTCTTCTTCTTCTTCTTCTTCTTCTTCTTCTTCGGTGCTGCTGCTCTGTTCATTTCTCACTTCCTGTTAGAACACAGTACAGCAGAGCACTGTGTTCCTGCCACTGTCTACATTTGCACACGTCAGCAGTGGTGCGTCGGCCCCTCAGCAGGAGCAGGGGCGCTTCCCGCCTCCCCCTCCTATCTCAAACCTCCCCCATCCACCTCCCCTGCCTCCCCCTGCTGCACCGGGCCGTAAGCCAATCAATGGCGGGGCTTTCAGGGCCGACGGAGGCCCCAGCGCACGGAGGGGTGATCAATAAGTTATTAGCACCATTCTGTCAGCTGTAATGTGGAGATTGATCGGGAGGCTGCGGCTGGCGGCTCACCCTACTCACCCCCTGCCTGTCACTCCCCCTCCCTCCCACACCCACCGCCCCTCCCCACTCTACAGCCTGATAAAGATGACAGATTAACGGAGTAAGAGAGGAATTAAGGAGTCTGGCTGTCTGAGCTGTCACCGCGCTCCATGGGATGGAAAGAGGAGAGGAGGAGGACTAAAGTTTTAGGGAGAAGAGGAAATCTGAGAGTATAAGAGGAGGAGGAATGATCCCCTGCGGATGGTTCACCCTGGCAGTGTCACATGAAAGAGAATCGGTTTAGGCCCCACTCTTCCTCCTTTCTCTCCCTCTATTCTAAAACCAGATGAAAACAAAATATTGCAACATGAAAACGTTAGTCTGGACTGTTTGTTTTTAACAATAATTAACACATTTTAAAATATCTTTTATTTTAAACAATTATTTCATCTTACATGCAAAACAAATATTTGATAAAAATAAAAATGAGAAGTAAAAAGCCATTTAAACTTTAGTTGATTTATAAACCACAACACAATAATGCAATAATTCTTAAAACCACTAATCTATGATATAATAAAAACCTTTGATTGTATATAGTTTGGGTTTGATGCCCCACCTCTTTTTATTTATTTATGTATTTTTACAACCAAAACTGCATTTTCACTTTCCCTCTTTAGACTCCTAAATTCATGGCCTTGGGTCTAAAATAGAACTTTAGACTCCATAGCCGCTAATACCTCAGCAGCATTAACAAAGAAATGATATTAGGAGGCCCTGAGCAGAAAAGCTGACTGGGAGCAGAGTAAGTAGGGAGTAAAAGGTTTAGCACAGACACTAGCAGAGCTCATGGTTTGGCATTAAAAAGGAAGCGCCGGTGCTTTAAGAAGCCACATTTAATTGGCTTTAAAAGCTTTTCACCCTCAAATCTCTGGCCCTCAGGCCCCTGCTCAGGAGACAGAATGTCCTGAGTGAAGTCGGCTGAAGAGACGACTCAAGTGTGTGTTTGAGGGTGTGTGTTTGATCCTGAGAGGCTCTGGGTGTAAGGATGTGAAATGTAGAAAAATAGATATGAGCCATTGAACCTCTAGCTGCTAATTATCCAACGTTTGGCCAGATCCAAACTCGACAGGTTCATAAACTGCAGGTTAATAGAAAGTCCACAAAAAACAGAACCGTTTCCACAATAACTTTTTACAATTGTGTTATTTTTCACAAGCCTTGTGTTGGAATCAGTCACCTTGCAGCGCTGAGTCACTGTGGCTCTAAACATCTACTGCTGTCACAAACATGTTCGTGTGTAAAAAAATAAATTCTTTGTCTTTATCCAGCAGTTACTTCACGTTTAAGCTTTAGGCGGTAATTACAAGTTGTCACTTCATTAGTCTGTAAATAGCCAAACACTGTGACCGAGGTCCAGATTTGGGAATAAACTGTGAAAAAGGTGTTTAACTAAACTCACCAATTTTTCTCACCAACTCTTAGTGAAATTACAGTTATATTATTCAACATTTTCTTTTGTCTCTGAACCCCTTTATCAGGTCTGTTGTAGGATGGCTCCACTGTTGCCCTGTACTAGAGCTGCCGTAGCTAACAGTTAGCTGCTGTGTCAATGCTCGCAGGAACTTGTTTGGTACCTTAGACTCAAAGTGCTGCTGTGATAAGAAAACTTTTTCTTTCTTGACTTTGCACACAGCCATGCTCTTATCCAAGCTGCCTTTGGGAAGTTTAAAAAAAAAAAAGTTCTGCTCAACAAGACACGCAATGTCTTATCTTCCATCACTGTTCGCCAATCCTTTTTGTGTGCTCAAGTCAGCTGGCTAACAAACTGGACCTACCAGGCAGGCGTGTGCACGTCAGTGTTGCTAGTGTGCCAGAAAATTTGCATAGTAAGATAGTGACAATTACATGCGTTAATTTGTCTGTCAATAATTTAAAATACCCTGTTTATGTTCCCGATCTATTTTATGGTAGTATTTACAAGCAGCCCCCTGTTGGTTAGCAGTGGTGTTGCGCCCTGACATTTTAAAACTGTGTCGCTGAGCACCTATATCTTTTCTTCACAGTCTATGGATAAAGGAGTAGGAAAATTGAACAATGTCTGTTCTAAATCTGTACAAAAGGAAGAGGGTGAGGTGTAAGAAAGTATAAAGAGACAAAGATGGGATGATGTTTGCTGTTAAATAGGATTTAAAGGGAAAACGAAGCTACATAAGTTAGAAATAACATGAGGAAAGTCGGAGTGAGAAGGACACTTGGAGGTAGACAGAGGACTGACACTGTTTTTTTTTTTTTTTTCGTTCTGTCAGTGCTGCGTGTCATGTTCTCTAGATTTCCCCCTCCTTTCCTCTCTGATTAGGCCATATTGATTGGAGGTGTGTTTGAGGTGGGGGTGTATGTGATGGGCTGGAAAGGAAGAGAGAGAGATGAGAGGTGAGGGGAGAGGAAGGCAGTTAGGGGTGCTGTAACTTTACACTATATCCTATTTGGTATTTGGGGAGGAGGTCACAGAGAGGAGGAGGAAGAAGGAGCAGCAAAGACGGGCTGAGAGGAGAGGTGAATTTGAAGTTTGGTACAAACACAGCTAGAAAAAAAACAACAACGTGAGTTTGAGTGGAGACGAGTTGAGCAGTTAGAAAAACAATGATGAGAACATCATAAAAGCTCAGATGAATTTCTAATGCAGCTTAGCAGCGTTTGCTTCTTTGGTTTACTCTGAAGCTTCTGAGCCAAGGCCTGGAGAAATCTGGAGAATAACAGCAGGAGAGAAAAAGGAGAACAGTGATAACACTGGGGTCTGATTGTTGGTAAAAGATATTGGAGGAGACAGAAGGAGACGGAGCCCTACGTCCTCCCTGCAGCAGACAAACACCCACGTGTTTGAACGAGGCGGGCAGATGTGTCATCCGCGGCGGTGCAGGCCCCCTCTCATCTCTGACAGAACAGGCACATCTCCAGACGCCCGAGCTTTGCTTCACTTGCTGCGTTTCTCTCTCTTTCTCTCTACCTGTCACTTGTTTCCCCCACTTTGACTTCTCTTCTCTGCTCCTAACTCATTTCCAAAGCAGCCTCCATGTATGCAGGTAGACACAGACCAGAGCAGCAATATGAAGCCTTTACTTTGGGTTTGTACTGACTGCACTTTCTGTCTGTGTGCTGTATGTGATTTCAGATGCCCTTCTAGGCAAGAGGAGAAGCTTCTCTCCCAACAGCAGCAGCAGCAGCAGCGAGTGTCCCTCTGACAGCAAGAAGTCACGTAGCATTTCCCCCAAAGGTAAGAGCGAGCAGCACATTTACATGTTGTGGTGTTATAGCTGCACACAGACCAGACAGGCTGTCACTGACAGGAAGCAGGTGAGCGGGTGTTAGCGGTGGAGGAAGCAGTGGTACCTATTCAGCTGCTGCTGGTCAGTGGTTGGGCTAGTTTGATAAAGACGTGTAGAGACAAACACTGCCTGGCACACAAACACTCACCTTTGTCATACACATGATAAACATAGACAAACACAGCCTTGGTCAGACTTCTTGGTTCAGTCACCTGTCTGTTGCCATGAAATTGTTCCTGCAGTAATATTGACTAAAGGTTATCCAAATACACATGAAAGTATTAGACTCCAAATAAGCAATACCATTAAGTCAGAAGCTAGCAAGAAACTAAAAGAAAACTCTCCACAGACTGGGCCAGAACGTTGTCTGAAGTACCAGCAACACGACTGAAAGGTTGAGCCAAAATAAAAGTTAGCAGAGTGCAGCTAAAATTGGATTAAGAATATATGTATAGAAAACTAAAAGTCAATTCAAACTCTAAACTGAGATGACAAATTAAAAACCAAAAAAACACAAAAAAAATTAGCTAAATTTCTAAAGGTTGTAAGAATCTGCTAAAATTTCCTGTGGTTTCAACACACACAGACACCACCACTGAGAAGTCGTTTTTCCCTGATGAGCAGAGGTGACCACTGATACGATTGTATGAAATAAAAGATTCAATTTTATTATTTTTTTGCAGAGTTGTAAAATCTAAGTCCTGTGTGTATTTCCATCTTTTGGTTTACATCAGCATCTAAATGACCAAGGTCATCCTGCAGTCTTACTGTAGGACAGTTTACTTTGGAACTAATTTCTGCTGCAGATGCAGGGCCAATGAAAACGGTTATTTAGGTGAAGTCAGATTTAAACATGTAGAGCACACAATGTAATGTAATATGTTCAATAACATGCCATTTTAATAGGACAGTATCAGTGTCAGAGCGGACGGCTAACATAAACACTCCTCTGTTAACTTTTAATTTACTCGGTGTGACGGACACTGCCAATACACGCCACGGTAAGACAGCGTCTCTACGTACAGTGGGAAACAGGCGCCGTCCTTCATTATTAATATCTCCCCAGTGTGGTGTGAAACTGGGCTCCCGGTGCGGAGCCAGCGTGGCCACTGTCCCTGTGGACTCCTGTGGAAGACTTCCTGTCTGATGCATTATACAGCAGAAAAAGTCTGAGGACGGCTTACCACACATTCAACCACATCTCTACATACACACAACCATATCACACACACACACACACACGTCAAAGATGTTGAAATCCAAGTTCAAGTCCAAGTTCAAGTCAAGTCTGAGATGATTTCTCGGGGTTGTGATTCAGAGTCTGATTCACAGAAGTTTCGAGCGAGAGTTTGCGTCACGGAAATAAAGTTGAGAGTTCCCAAGTTTTCAAGTCCATGGCCAAGTCATAGAATGTCAACTCTGAAGAGTCGAAGTCACAGACACAGGAAAGTTGAATCTGAGTCCAAAGAGTTAAAACAGAGTTAATTCCGTAGGTCGAGTTAAATTCAAGTCCAAGTTTGAGTCCCAAATTACTGAAGTATCTATATTTTAGATTCCCTAATCGTTAGTGTCCATAAGATTTCCAGTCACTTTATGTCAGAACTTTAAGGTGTGGTTGATAAAAAATAAACTAAATTCAGACACAAAACTTCAAGTTGAGTTTTTGAGCATGACTTAAGTTCAAACAGCTTTGAGTCCAAATAACTTAATAAAGTTACATGTCACTTGATTCAAGTTCAAAGTCCCTGGTGAAAAATGTGAAAATTCTCACAGCCTTAATGTCAAATTCACTAGAGTTGAGATGAGTTCTCTGAGGTTGGAGTCGCGTCATTGTCAGTGCTCGAGTCCTCGGCTGTCCTCGGCTGTCCTGAAGATCAGTACGGTATTGAACTTGAAGTTTGGGTGAATCCCACTAGGAACGTTGTGTTTCCCTGTGGTTGACATTTGACCAACAGCCTCTTCTTCTAGTCTCTCTGACTGGACCATTAGTGTTCCAGTCACTTTAATCCATCCTTTGAAAAATACATGGAATATTCTATCTTTTTTTGTGTCAGCGTGTGTGTGTGGTTATCTGTTTGTGTGCTCAGCCTTGGCTTCCTTTTAAGGCAAATGGAGCTTGTGGGCTTTTAAGCAATTTTTGTTGATTCTTCCTTGTGTGTTTGGCTTCTGAAGAAAACGAACCCTGTTATGAGCCAGATATGCTGTTATTTGCATAAAAGAACCAGAGACTGTACGTGTGTGTGTGTGTGTTTTCTCAGTGTATCTTTTCTTGTCGGGACATTTCGCAGGTCATCAAGAGTCAGATGGTATTTTGAGATTCAAAATTTAGTTTCATGTTAGGTTTAGAATTAAGGTCAGATTATACAAAGTATTAGGATTATGCATATGTTTGTAATGGTTAAGGTTAGGGTGGGCAAGGTAGTGAATTATGTCAATGTGAATGGCTCACAAAACACAAAATCTTGTGCGGGTGTGTGCGTTTTTCAGCCAACTCCTTTCTGAGTCTTTGCAGATTTTGTATCTTAACCTTGAGCTCGCTCTTTAAGTGTGTTATCTGTGCTACATCTTTTCGCCTCCATCTTTGATGACACAAACTCACTATCAGCTAATGACTAAAGCAGGTGGAGAAGCGTCTTCACAGGCAGAGAATGAAAGCGTAGCGTAGGGATGGAGCCAGAGGGATTGGATGCTGCTGCGTAAATGACATCTGCTTTTATTTCAGCTGTGAACTCTACGCCCCCTGCTGTGTTTAAAGAGCGCAAAAAAAAAAAACTTCAGACAAACACACGAACGCACAGGCTCATTGACCTAGTGTGGATTTGCCAAAAGCTTGGCGTTGGCGACGGGGATGCTTGCGTGCTTCCTCCCCGCCCATCTCCTCCTCCTCACCTCCGCTCCTCAGCGCCACTCCTGCTCGCCTGCCTGGGGCCAGGCTCAGGTTTCAATAAGGAGGAGGGTGGTAAAAATAACCCCCTGCTTTCCTCGGCTTCTCCTCCTCCCCCTTCTCCAACTCCCTAACCACTGCCCCATATCCCCCACCACCTTTACCTTAGATCATGTTACTATTGACAGGGAGAATAAGTGGGGAGGGGGGGTCAGAGGGAGAGATCAGGAGTGGGCAGTGACAGTTTGATAGATATTACACACGAGATCATCTACACAGCAGAGCAGCTGTAGCGCACACACATACGCAGAGTGATGAAGTGGGATTAATATTGTTAGCCTAAATATGGTTGGTCTTCATTGTTAGTAGTCTGGGGTACTGCACAGTAATTGACTCTTGTACCTGTGCAGCTGCTGGCGGCCGCAGCGCTGTGCCTCCTGACAGTGCAGCGGAGAGTTCGTGCTCAGGTCAGGCCCAGACCATTAACAATACATGCTCACATGTGTACAGCTTCATCCAAAGAGACTCACACTCCATCACCGCTCTCTTCTTCATAAATGATACGTAGAGGTGGATGTTCTCACTCATATTTGGGGCAGGCTATATCTCAGAGACGGAGAGAGAGTTTCCTGTCCTTATTTTACTCTGCAGGATTGTTAGGACAAAGTATCACATTTTACTCTAATGAGCATTTGTCTTATAAAAGTCACAAATGTTGCCGAGCCAGATTGTCTCACCAGTAGACTAGATTAACTCCACACCAGGGAAAGGCACAAGGTTACAGAGTAAAAAAACAAACACAAAGCAATACTGACCGACAGCGAGGGACGCATACCTGTCCATGAGAATCCAAATGTAAAATAATCACTGTCATATCACCAGGATCCTCTGGCAGTAGAGGGATTTCTTTTCTCACTGTGCGTTCATTTTCATGTAAAAAAGTTAGCTAGTTTAGTTAGCTAATTTAAATGTTGTCCTTACTTTTTCTAATTTATCCTCCACTGTTTTAGTTGATTTGTGGTCATTTCTGCCAACTGTTAGCTAGCATATTGAGTTAATATACTTTTTTGTCTTTTTCGCTATTATTTGTCAAGTGATTTTTGCATTGTGATCCAAGCCTCTGCGTAGTGTTGGCCCTGCTTTCACATATGATCCTCTCTTCTTAGAAACGACCTATTATTATTATTGGTGTGTTTATATGAAAACAATTGAAAAGAAAAGTTCATGAATCTCATCATAATTCTGCTCAGAGAGTTTGAGGTTTGTTCCACTCTCAGTATGAGTCATTAACAGTTGGGCAGTACCTGTGGTAATTTCATAAATGTGGTAATCTTAAATGTCTTCCTCTCCTCAGAAAACTCCCAGAGTCCAGTCGTGGAGGCCGGCAGCAGCCACATGAGCCCCGAGGAACATTACAGACGCATGATGTCAGCACTCAGTGAACAGGGCTCCTACGAAGAGCAGCAGCAGCGACTCTATCAACTGGCGAGCAGCATGGGTCTGCCCGGCCACGGTCAGTCCACAAACTCTCATCTTTTTACACTTCTACACTGTGTTCCTGGAGAAATAAAAAGTCAGAGTCGTGTTTCCATCTGCAGCAGTAAGAAGTGACTCATGAAAGATCCTCAGGTACTTCCCTCTGTCTCTTCTCCTTTGTTGTGAAGTAACTTGAGAGTAAGTTTGAAACAACTCAAACTAAGAGAGTTTCTTGTGGAAGCACTTGAGCAGCTGCTATAAAAAAGTCTTCCCTCACTTGTCAGAGAGTCACCAGGCTGCTGATCTGCTTTGTAACCCCAGAGAGCAGTGCTGTGTTCAGGGTTCCATGTGAAGGTGTGTGCCACACTGCTGCCATTGTCAAAGCCTGGCCTCAGCAGACGGCTGACATTTCTATTTGTGGCTCTTGCCCACCCAGTGTCAAAGTGTCACTCAGTGTGATTTCTGACCACCGTGGCTCTCCGTTGTTAACACCCACGAGGCATTCGCATGCATCAACGCCACAATTGATCCGGAAGCTCTCACTGGATGTCTGCCAGAGCTCTAAATCTCTCAGCCCTCACAAAACCATCAGTGCGTCCAGGCTTCTTCCAATTTTCACAGACAATGAAAATTCACCAGTCTTACTCTGACAGATTTGTAGTTCGGTGGAAGAAGAAGAAGAAAATCAGGAACTTGTTTTGCATCTTTGCTTTTGCATTAATTTCGCCTCTGCCTGTCATTAAATGTCAACTATTTTCTCACGTTTTAGTGAAGACTGTAACATAAAGCCCCACTCGTCTTTATGAGCTCTTTCACAGTAGCATAAATTCAATCAATGCCTTGGCTGACTTGTAGTTTGAGCTACTTTTATTTTTATTTGATTAGTAATGATTTTTAATTGCTAGCTGCAAATCTAGGGGGCGAAGCCTATAAAAGCTTTAATTGCCTCTTCCTGGTGTTTTAGAGGAGTTAGAGGAAAGATGCAGTGCATTGTGGGGGTTTTATGGCCTGGGGTGCAGTCTGATCGCTGGCTTCCTTTCCCAGAATCCTCTCTGGTGTGAGGCAGACGCTCAGGCGCAGCGCAGAGACACTCACTGCCTTTCTTTACTTACACATTGGAAAGGGTTTGATAGTTTCCACACATTCGTGCGTTCTGCTTCCTCTGAACTGCAGTGAGTTTAGGTCGGCACTGGTAAAAGTAAAAAGCCAACAGAAATCTAAATGAGGAGGAACTAGAACATTTGTGGGATGAAAGACAATAAAGGCAAAAAGATAAATATGTTAAAGATCATTTACAGGTTGGTTTAAGCTAATTTCATACCTGTTTTTAGCTAACTTTTAGCAAATTATCAACACACTTTAATAATTTCTATTGAGTATTTCATATTCAGTAGATAGTCTTATCTACTCTTCATAGTTTCTATGTCAGTGCTCAGTTTTATTAACCTTTCTTGCACTTTTAACATTTTCTGACCTTACATTTAGAGTTATTTTTCAAATAACATCTTGCTATTTGGACTAACTTTGACCTTTTATGACATTTCCTTAATTCCTTCAAGTACATTTTTTAGATAACTTTTAGTTAGATTTTGTTGATTAATTATGTGTAATTTTTTAGCCATTTGTTATCAATTTTGGCTGACTTTAAAAAAAAACAAACTCTAACTTTAAAGTAAATTTTTTTTATTCTACTTCATTTCTGGCCAGTTTTAGCTCAGTATTGTCTTTTCGTCTCGCCTATGGCTTGTTCTAACTTTTAAGTTGCCTTTTAGCAATTTTTACTGTGTAAAACTGTCACCAATTCTTGGTCTATCATTAATCATTTTGCTACAACCAACTTTCAGTATTGTTTCAGTTCTAGTAGTTTAAAGTTTCTTGTTACAATTTCTGGCTAAATCCCTTAAAAAACAACACTTTTGAATTTGTATCGTCTGTGTTTAAGAACCTGGTCACTGATAATCATATGTTCTATATGATTGGGAATACAGTGGAATACAGTGTCCAGATTTGACTTTCCATTGATGACAGACCAACAGGAGTTAGAATCATATCATATCTTCCCAGATAAACCACAGCTGTAACGGTGTCCAACAACACCACCTGACCTTTCAGCTCCATCCTTTCCAAACTTGGCAACCCTCTTCCTTCCACTCAGTGACAGTGAGTTCTCAGGTTTACGTAGAGTCACCCATTATCACACCACACCCTGAACCACTCTGTCTCTAATTAACAGTTGGACCTTGTAAAGAAGCTGCAGCTCTCAGATATTAGCAGTCTAAGAGGTGGAACGAAGCGCCTGCTGTTTTGTCTCCTGAGAGCCTGATGAGAATCACTTCAGTCGGAGCCCCCTTGACATTGACCCAGGCTGGCTGGGGCCTCCAGTGACCCCTTTCTTCCTCCCTACTGAGCACCAAACACCACCTCCACCTCCACCACCATCCCTTATACATCTCCCTCTCTCAAGCACCGCTTTTATACTGGCCTCCCTCCTCCTGCTTACCTCACCCCCACCTCCAACTCTTGCTTTAGCCTTGGTCCCTGCAGAGCATCCTTTCATGTTTTTGAAGTGTAGGGCACAGAAAATGTGTGTGCATTGAAAGGGCCAAGTGTGAGGAGGAACTCACTCGCTGTGTGTGTCTGTGTGCACGTCTGTGTGTGTGTGTTTTGAGAGGCTCTCTCTGGACCTGATGGGCAAAAAAAGGAGTTGGAAAGGGGAGTAGGAGCTGAAATTAGAGGTTGCGGTGGAGGGATAGCAGGGGTTGTAGAAATGGCCAGGAGGGCTTCCCCCCTTCTTCATATGATGAAAGGGGAGAGAAAAGAAAGAGAAAAGAGGAGGTGGGGGGTTAGAGATGATCCAGATGAAAGCGTGTGTGTGTGTGGGGGGGGGGGCAGCTTGGTAGAGAACTATCCTGTTTTGTCTCCTACAGTTAGTCAGAAGCATCGTTCACACCGGTCAGAAACCTGTTAAACCTGGGTTTGAATGTTTATCGGTCGAATGACTCACACTTTTTATCGTCTCTATTTCAACACGACTTTAGTGGAAACGCAAGTCAAATGTTGGTGACCTCTTCCTCTTCCTCCTTCTTATCATTGAGCTTTTTTAACTTGGGACATGATGAGTTTTTCATTTTCTTTTTAAAGATCAGGTGTGAACAGCAGGTATTTACTTTATTGTCAAATCAAAGGATTTAAAATTGACATTGAGAGACTGATGTCATTTCCTGTAGAGAACAAGGCAATGAAATAAGATTAATTTTAGATGGTTGGTCCATTATTGGCATCATTTTGGAAATCATTCTGTTTTGTTTTAGTCGGGCCTTCAAATGTACCTTTTTATTTACTTTGATACCTCAGTGATAGCCCTCATTCTGACTGGCTACTAGTTGTCATTCTTTACTGGGTTCACCAGGGTCAAAAAACATGAAGCTATTCTCCTCCTAGAGAGATGGAAACCCCCAGTGTGTGACTGGACAAAGTACAGACAGTGACGCATATTAAATGTGACAAACATGCCACACATGGACTGCTGGCTGAGGCAGTGCTGCTAGTTAAATACCACTTCCTGAAAAGATGCTCATTTTTCATGCTAAGTAAGGTTGGGCAGATGGATGTTGACTTTTGTGCACCTGCCAGTCCGACAAATCCATCACATGACCAAAGCCAAGTTTCAGCAACGCAGCACTCCTCTATTTTGTCCTGCTGAGGGAAAAACCTGGCTTAAGTGAAGGAGATTTGGGCCCAACTCCAGGAATGATGACAGCGAGAAAATTGGAAGGGATAGAAGCGATGGTGTGAGCGGTAAACTGGGATCTCCTAAAATAACTCTTGAGTTTGTGTGTGTTTGTTTCCTCCGTTTGGACTTTCCCCTGACCAGCAGCTGTGGAAATTCTGAGTCACACAGACAGAGACACAGAGGAGAGAAAGAAAGAGAGAGAGAGACAGACAAGCAGAGAGAGAGGAAGAAGAAGAAATGGGTACTGCAGTAAACATACAAAGGCACATTAACAGATTTTCTTCATATTTATTTTATTGGTAATGAAACAAAGTCTAGAAATATTTTATCTTCCCTTCTTTCCTTTTTAATAAGAATCACAGTGAGTCCTTCTCAAAGGTTCCGCTGTAGAACCAACTCTCCTGGACTTGTCTGTTGAAAGCATCGTGACTTTCAGACGAGCAGCTGGACCAGAAATTGTTAAAAAGTTGTATCCATGCGCTGCAGTTGAGACCTGGACTAGAGACCAGACAACAATCTGAAGTCTAATAGTCGATAAATCGACTGTTGAGTTTCAGTTTGTGGATCTCTGTTCACTCCTAACTGAAACCAAATGTTGTCTTGGTGTCATCTGTTAACTGAGGCAGAGCAGAGCAGGATATCCTGGGATCTGCCGCCATGATTGACCATTCTTCTTAAAAATTTGTCTTCTGGACGTTTCCCAACTTTATGTTCCTGCAGCACTGAATCACCTGAGGCTCCCTTTACCTGACACTGTCTCAACCATAATTGGTGAGGTGGGAATTAGAACACAGTTCACTCTTAAAGGTCAACTCTCCTACCACTGGTGCATGTATGCAAGTACACACCGTCACTGTGTGTGCGTGCATGTTTCAGTGTGTGTAGGAGGAGGGGAGAGGGGCTGAGAGATAAGGAAAGGATCAGAGGGAACTAGAGACCCAGAGTGTGTGCGCACACACACACACAGACACACACAAACACCCTTGTCTGCCGCCAGCCGAGTCCCCTGCGGCCTGGCGCAGCAAACAGATCGATACACCGGAGCTGGGCCGCATTAATATCTGTCGCCTCACCCCCCCCACCCCGGCGCCCGCTCAGCTGCTTCAGCACACACAGAAACACACAGTCAGGCACGAATACACAAGCACCTAAATCACACAGACACACATCACACCCGCACCGGCGGCGGAAATGGCCCCTAGCTCCTGAGGGATCTGTCTAATTAAAAAAGTGTGTGTGCCTGTGTGTGTGGAGGAGGAGGGGAAGGAGGAGGGGGAGGGGAAGGGGGAGAAAGAAGAGGAGGAGGAGGAGGAGAAGTGGAGATAGATTGAGGCAGAGAGAGGGCAGGATGGATTTTTCTCTCATTAGAAGCCATGTCTCCTGGTGTCTCCTTCTCCTGCGAGGGCAAGCGAGAGAAGCATGGGGGCTGAAAGAGAGAGGGAGGAGAGAGGAGAAAAAGATGGAAGAGGAGAGTGGTGGAGGGCAGGAGTTCTAGACAGGAGGGCAGGTTAACACTGAGGGGAGGAGGTGTGATGACGGAGATGATGATGACGACGATGGTCAGGGTGAATATGTAACCTGTGCACCTGACGCATGAAGCTGCGTCAAAAACACATTCATTATTTCATATCCACTGGTGTTTCCTTTGGACCAACTTACTACTAATGTTTGGTGCATTTCTAAAGATGCAATAAAAACAAACCTCTGTAATCTGGAACCAGTTTTTACCTGAGTCACTTCTCCTTTTTTTTAACTATACTTACATTGTTTTAGTGAATTAAATTGAGCAACTTTTCCCCGTTGCCGCCGAGTTGCTCCACAGTCAGTGGTCACAGTTGTCTGTTGCACTGGTTCAAACTTTTATCAGTTTGAATGAGTTTGTTTATCCTTACTGAGTGTAAATGAGAAAACTGAAATACTAACTTTTATTTCTCTTCCTTCCTTCACTTTCTTTCCTTCTCACTCTCATCATTTCTGTCCTGTCAACTCCTACCGCCCCCCACCCCCACCCCCATTTCTCCCTCCATCTTCCTCTCTCCTCACTCAGAGATACTCCGTGCTCGTCAGGAGGCGCTGGCTGCAGCTATGAGGAATCCGGCAGTTTTAGAAGCTCATCTGCCCTCAGCGGGCAGCTCGTCTTCATCCAGCCAGAGACGCAAGCAAGGTCTGCCGCAGCACCGGGACGCACATTACCCTGACAGGTGAGAGAAACAGATGCAAATACAAGCACGGTGTCTGAATGTCAATGTCAGCACCTGCTCCGAACTTCTACCTCCTTCTGCCTGTAATCCCAGTGTTATCAATCATTAATAAAGCCCTGCACCCACACGGCCACACATACATTAGAAGACCCACTCGCATCACTCCACCAGTACACTTTCTCACCTCTTTCCTCCACCCGTTTCCTATATTTTTGCCTTCTTCATTGAGTTGGAGTCCATGTTTATTGTATGTGCGCATACTGTGTGTTTGTGTGCATCTCCGAGTGTACGGCTGAACCCGGGATCCAATAACCTCTTGGCTCCCACTGTGGAGCTGCACGCCTGCATCCCTGGCTCTTGCCCTCTCCCTCTCTCCCTCTCTCCCTCCC